GATTCCTGTGTATCAACTCTCGTTACTCATACGCCACGTTGTTCAATTATGGCCGCCATCCGCCATCTCTCCGCTCCCCGACTCCAGCTCTTTCTGCCCTTCTCATTGGCATTCGGAAGCATAATTTATGGGTTGGCAAAGCGTCTAGGCCATAAATTAATTGTCGCGCCTAAGTGCGCACAATGTCGTCTGAGCACTCGGATCGACAGAATGGAGGCAAACTAAATAGAAAATTGCCAGCAGTGGAGGACGGACATGGCCAGTAGGAGAACGAGAATGAGAACCAGGAGGTTTCGTTGCAGGGACAAGGTGAAATATGGTTGCGTTTGCCAGCTATATGGCAAACTGCAATATGCCAATGATAATTGCTTGAACATTACGCATACGCCGTGTGGTCAGGCTTTATGGTTTTATCTTCGCCATTAAGTGTAATCAATTTTTCGAAAGGCGTTGGCCAGCGAGGCAACAACAACAGCTCGCATTCCTTGTCGGTTAACCAATATAGGATTTCATTCGCAGACAATAAAGCAGCTGAAATTGTTTTTACAATTGCTTTCCCTTGCGATTGCACTTGCCAATGCGAAACGGAAAACGGAGTCAAATCGATTCCGATCATAAAGTGTGTGCCCTGGAGTGTGGCATGTAAACAGACCAAACCCAACCAGAAGATTCTCAGCTCCGATTAATGTCTGTATTTAAGTGAAGCACACTTTGAGGCGAATCTTGCTGAGCTCAGCTGCGGAGCTCCGACGTGGGAACTTGCCAACGCCAGCAGTTGTGGCCCTAGAAAATGATTATGTGTGCTGGTGGCGTTGTCAACACGCTCAAGGGTGCAGCATGTGGTCTCCAGAAGGAGCTATCTGCTCACCTCTGGAGCCTTAAACCAATTTCAGATAATTTCTGACTTTTATTTTTCATTTGCTCAACGATATCGCCCCTTGACGAAGCATTTACGACGACACATCCGTCACTTGTCGCCGCATTCAGCGGGCGTTATCTGATTTCGTTTCCGATTTTTTCCGCAATCTTCTTTTCTTTTTGTTGCAAATTTTTCGGGTTTTTCTGCGTGACATGTGATGCGCATGCAAATGCGAAAACGGGCGGTTTTTAAATGAGGCACGCAGTCGCTTTTTTGGTGGCTTGGTGGGTGGCTCGGCGGTTCATCATTGCAACATTTTCATGGGATTTTGCGCTCATTGAAATGCGACAATGTCGACAGCGCTGTCTAACGAAATTCTTTCCGTTTTCCACGAGCTGCCAAGAGTCACAGTTTTCCACACACACTTTGGCCCAAAATGTCGCCGCGCTCACTTATCGTGCCTCATTGTGAGTCATGACCGCCTGCCTGCTTTTATAGTTTGGCCCGATTTGTATGCGTATTTGTATTTAAGCATTCATATGACCACATTAGCCGGCCGGCAGGAGGGGGGGAAACCGAAAGCGAAAGAAATATAATCATAAATTCCAAATGCGGCACTTATAATGCCAACTGAGTGATGAAATGGCTGGGCGGAGCTAAGGAAAGTGGGCTAAAGCAGACATTGCTGGCCATAAAAATGGCGACATGCGCGAAAAAACGTTGTCGGCCAAGACTAACAAGCTTCAAGTTTATATAAAAAAGAAAGGTCCCACAAAAACCGCTCTGCTGAAATAATATGCCCAAATGAACTCGTTGCCTTTGACTTTTGGTTACTTTGTGCATATTCAAATATAGTTTCCCCCTCTCGCTCTGATTTTATAGCCAATATTTTTCTGTCGAATTTCATTTGGATTTAATTTGTGCTGGCAAATAGAGTGGCAAAGTGTCAGGAGCAATTTGCTGCACAAATATTTTGCCATATCCACTCGCTCGAAGCAAAGCGGAAACACTTTGCCAGCATAATCGATAGTTGAGCATATTTAAAGGAGCTCAGCCTGCATCCTCGCCGCTCCACACATTTGTGAGCCAACTGGTGGATGAGGAGGAGCCCCGTCAAGTGTATCGACTGCCACTCAATGCTTCAGTGCGATGTCAGTGCAACTTAACCTTAAGTGCTCGGGATCATGGACAATCCAAGGCTGCCTCGCTACTCCACGAGGAGTCCTGACTTTCGTCTCCTGTCCGCTTCAGCACACACGATGATGTCGGGCTCCAGTTGGGATTAACTAGGCCAAAGATATTGTCTTTGTCTAGTCAATAAGTTGCTGTCGTTTCAATACAAACATTTGGAATTTCTTAATTACACTAAGCAGCGTTTTTCAGCTGATAATGTAGATTTAGGTAAATTGAAAATGATTTCAGCTTATATGCTGTAATAGCTAATTTTCTTTGGATGCCTTCTAGCAATCTCACGCTAAATTAGGCCGGGTTACATTTAATAGTTGGGCCATCGATTTTCGCTAATTTTGATTTATCCTCAAGTAAAATAGCCCCCATAAATATGCATATGTCGTGCTACGACCCCACACAACCGCAAATATTTTCCACCACATTTGCTAATTTTCGGGTTGAAAAGTCGGCAAATATTTTTGGTCCTTTAACCGCAGCTCAGGGATTTTCGGGATGACAGTTTCGAGAGAGCCGAGTGCCCAACCCATGCATCATGTTAATTTGCTGGCGCCGAGCGTTTTTGATTAAGCGCACGCTTTAAGGCTAAAACCAAAATCTGACAGCCGCCAGCTGCCGTTTGGTTCCGCTGTTATCGATGGCCAAAGTGGGCCAAAACGACGGGACAAACAAACAGGCTAACAACAAATTGGAGGCATCGACAAGTTGGACCCGGCATTTCCTGGCGGCCGCATCGTTAATTTTCACAGCGTGAGCAAATTTTCCATGCATAAACTTAAAATTAGCACAGGGTTCCCTATCGCACGCAAAAATGAGTGGTGGAAATGCTGTGTGGTTGGGGCCCAAAAATTGTGTGAAAATCTTCTCGCAGCTGCCCATAAATTGCATGCTCGCTGATAAACAATAAATTAAGTTCTGTTTCAGACCGGCCTTTCTTCTTTCCCCAGCGCATTTTCCGCTTTCCGAATTTCCCACGCTTTTCCACGCCATTTATGCGCCACGCACGCATACGTGCAACATTTCTAAGCTAATTTTCGCCAGCTTTTGATACCCTGTTACCTATCTGTGTGGATTGCGGGAGGGGTGCCGTGCTTTAGGGTATTACTGGGTAATTAGCCTGTGTAACCAATTTGAATGTATATCTATTTCGTTTACTAATCAACTAATGTTTTGCAATTCTTTTTTTAACATTTCATTATTAATATTTTTGGGTCTGATAGGATGTAATTTTTCGAAAGAAATATATCAGAACTATAATTGGTAACCCTGCGTTTGTGGAAAACGAGGAAGGCCGACGTAATCCTAATAAAAAGCTGCTGCTTTTAATCTTCTTATGTTGATTAACTTTTCCTGCATCAAATTATCTTCTTGTTTTTTAAGAGCAACTCCGCTTCGATTAACGAACGAAACTTTTCGCCAACGTTCCTCTTACATTATTATCTATCCTGAAATGTTTTGCATATTGCCCGAAGATGGAAAGCCGCACGTACGCAAATGTTGCGGGTGCGCATTAAATTTAACTTTGTGTTCGAAATTTTTCAAAAAGTAAATCGTAAAATTTGTCATGTCCCGGCAGCCACCAAAACCATCCAGGCCACCCAAGCCACTCGAACCACCCAAACCACCCAAACCACGCAAACCACCCAACCACCCAAACCACCCAACCACCGAACCACCGTCAATGCGGTGGAGTCGATTCATGTTTTCACGTTGCTACGCATGTGAAAAGTTTGCGTAGGTCTTTTAGCTGCCTTTGGTGAAAGAGTGTGCGTGCCCCGGCGAAAGTTTTCACTTGATTTTCTTCTTTTCCTTTTTTTTTTGGCGCGTGCGGAAACGGAAATGTGCAACAGCAGTTTTCCTCCGACTTTGGGCGATGGATGGAGGCATTTGATTCCTGGCTGCCAGTTAGAGTTCAGCTTGGAGTTCGATAAACTGGCGCCAGCAGGAGTTCGCCTCGTATCGCCTCATTCAATTATTCGTATTCCAGTTGGCTGCATGCGATCTGCGCCGATTTGTACAGGGCTTTGATGTGCAAAAAGTTTGTGCCAGCTTTTCTTCCTTTGATTCCTTTAAGACCCATCTGCCTCCGCGTTGCGTATTGATGAACTTAGTTCCACCGTTCCCGGTCTCCCCAACGACGTTATCTAACTTGGCTCTTACTGCTAGCTGGACACAACTTTTGCCCAGCTTTGACATATTTAGTGGGCCAACTTCTCCCTGACCATAAACTTGTCAAAGCGTGCTGATGACCGGAAAACATTTTTACCATCATAATTAGCATCTTTGCGCTTGGCGGAGAACAAATGGGCACATAATTGCTCACATACTTTGTCCGAGCGATATTTTGTGACAAGAAAAGGAGTCTTCTGCGTACAGAGATTATCAAAATAAACGAATTGGCATTAATTTTCTGTTTCAATTACCCCTATAAACTAAGTAAAGGTAGAAATATGCATAAATTGATTAAATTAGGAAGCCGATCGAGGCTTGGCTTCAGTTGGAACTCCCAAAGGACTTGACATACTTCATTTTCCATCCAATACAGTCTCAAACACTCACGCACCAGCAAACAAATGCCGAAAGAAATAAAAAAGGGAATGTACAAGTATAATTGTTTGTTGGGGATTTTTGGTGCCACACACATATGTAGGTTGTATCCCTCACAGGCAGCGTTCGTTTATTTGTTTTTCTGCTTCGTTTTGAGCACAATTTTTATGCGAATTTTATTACTTTTCAGTTTCAGTTAGGGCTTTGGCAGCCACCAAAAGTTGCGGCTATGCTGGCAGCTCGGGGCATTTGAATGCCGCGCTAAAACCAACAATACGTCGCTGCGTATGTGCAAATGAAAATGAAAATAAATTTCCATTTGGCACAAGTTTTTACGCCGCCGCGTTGTTCGCACCATTCCACTGACCTCCATCCCGTTTCTCCTCTTTTTTCCTCCCTTTTCTAGGCTACAGCGCCGCGTTGGCCCCCACGCCGCCCACCACGTCGACAACTACCATCTCGCCCTCCAATCTGCTGCCCTACTTCGACTTTGATGTGCCGCGCAACTTGACCGTAACCGTTGGCCAGACCGGCTTCCTCCACTGCCGCGTGGAGCGGCTCGGCGATAAGGACGTAAGTAGAAAGTGGCAAGTTTGCTGGAATCGGGGATTCCGATGCCTATTTTAAATGCTCTTTCGGGCAATTGTTTAATTTTTGCTAAACTAACAAGCCCAGCCAAACAAGTCAACCCATTAATGATACCAAGCAATTACACTGGCCATTACAATTTAAAAATATTTCACAATTAATTGCAGCACATAGGAGCTATAAAAATAAGTTCTGTCTTAAACAAATATTTCCGGCATTACATCATTGCATTGGGTAATTGAAAAGTTAGCAGCGTGCGTATTTTTCGATAATCCTTAGGCATTTTAAATGTTTATTGCGCTAATTGCAGCAAGCAGCTAAGTAAATTAAGCTGCATATTTAGCATGCCTAAATATACAGTTTGTAATTAAACAAAAACCGTGGCGAATACAAAAAAATATTTATCAAAAACCCAACAACTCGAATTAATTAGCTTTTAGTGCACGTGCATTTGTGGGCCAATGGCATACATATCTGATAAAAAAGGCGAAAAGCAGGGTGCCAAAGTCAATGGCTTAACATATGGAAATTGTGCGAAATAAATGAAAATTCCGTTTGGGATTTGCAGGCACTCAATCATTCTGCTCCGTGATTGCCAAACCATTGGGGTCCGGTTCCCTTCGTTCCGTTTCGTTTCGGTTCATTTTTTTCAGCCTAGTCCATAGCCAAATAAATGATTGAAGGTCGCAGTGGGTTGTTAACCCGTTGCCAAATATGGCCCATACGCAAACGAGCCGGAGGTTGGAGTGCCTGGCCTAATATGTCAACTTCAATGGCACATTACGTGGGCGGCCAGCTCGCATCTCTTAGCCAGGATTAGCCCTTTTTTGGCCAGTCGCAGGGCCCTACTACATACAGTGACCCCGAGTGGTGACAGATAGTCCAATCACTCAAAATTTAGGCACTACGCCGGGTCCTCGAACCAGTGTGCATTAGCCAGCAGGACTCGGCCTGTTATTAAATGGTATGCCTGGGCAAGGGGAGGATACGGGGGGCTTAGACCAAATTACCGGGTGATTTCGAGGCTGCACTCGAGACTGGGAGAAAAATGGCCAAACAAGACAGGCGACAACCGAGCTACGTCCTGTGGGAGTTGTCTTCCTTAACGAGTGCTGCATTTCCCCTGCTGCCCCCTGGAAAATACACGCCCACACGCTGCCAAATAGGCTGGGTGGCTCGCTCTAGCAAAATGACTAATTTATGAGCCATCAATCACGTGACTGGCTCAGCCATCATCCTGGTGCGTCCGTGTTATCAGCTTTAATATACCCGCTTTAAGGTGGCCGAGGTGGGAGGGAAGTGAGCCCAGGCCGGAAACCGGAAGTTGTGCGCCTTGGAGGAAGCAGCCAAAGTGCTGGCACGAACCGGAGAACAGGAAAACAAGAGCACGAGTTCCTCCAACGGTTCCACCTAGGGAGATCATTATCATCATCATCATCATCGTCCTCATGATGGGGCCACTCACTCAAGTTTACCCATTTATTTCGAGCTCTCATCGAGAGAGTTAATTTGTGGCATTGAAACTACATTAAACAAATGACAAGCAAACAACGTAAGCCCAGCTAAATCCTTGTTCTTGAGTCTTAATTACTCGCCCAGACCTTTCTCCATGCTATCCATCCTGATCCCCTCGAGACCCAGTCCAGTGCTCGTCATTGCCCTTTCAGTTGCCGCCATCCGGTTGCCGTTGTTGCTGTTGCAACTGATGCTGCTGCTGCTGCTCCTCGTCCTGTTTGTCACTCTCGCGGGCACTGGCGTCAGCAATGGACTCCACGGTGGCCGCCACCACTGCGGCCAGGACCTCGCTGTCCAGCCGCGTGCCCCATTTGTGGGCCAACTTATCCTCCGCCTCCTCCTCGCTGGAGGTGATCACGATGGCCGGCGAGGAGCTGGGCACTGGTGCTTCCTGCTGATCGTGGTGGGTAAACATGGAGGCTGTCGTCGAGGCCGTCTCCAAGTGGAATGGCCGCAGGAAGCGGCTTGGGTTGGGAAACGGTCGTCGGTTCTCCAGGATAAGTTTTATGTCCCGCGCAGACTGCCACCAGCTAAATGGGTTAAAAAAACACATAACACATGGGCTCATAATTATTTGTGAAAATAAAATAGGGATCTATTATCTTACCGATACCAAGGAGTCAGCTGGGACTTGATCAGCATGTAAATGTTGGCGAAGTAAACGGTGATCTGGGGGCGGTCACATGAGATAAGATAAAGCGGAGCAACTGGCTGCCTGTCTACTACCGTCATGAACAGGAAGAACAGCATCCAGGACTTGGTCCACAGCTTACTCAGTCCCCAGGAGTGGGTGTGCAGGGCGTAGTACTGGATGCCCACCAGCAGGGTCCCAATAATTCCAAAGGCCACCAGCGTCAGCAGCGAGAACATCTGGCAGTCCTCCTGCAACGCCCTGCGACTCATGGCCCTCGAGTACCACAGGCGCAGCGACTGCAGACAGGTGTACCTGCAACGGAATCTGGAAAGGTGCACAGTCCGCCGAGCAACACAAAGCCGCTAACAAAGCTGTGCTGGCAATTAGGAGGAGTTGCTGCCACGGAGCACGGAGCACGGAGCACTGGCACATTGAGCCACTAAGCCAACTCAGCTGATTAAAAAGATGAGAGCCGCAGGCGTCTTTTATCCGCTGCCGCTTCGAGTGGCAGCTACCAAACAGCCATCTGCTTAGTACACTCGCGAAAAATACCTCATCAAATCGAAAATTATTTTGATAATGAAATCACTTTGTGGCCGCGCAGCCCTATGAATTATTTAAGCGAACTCGGAGGGGATTTTGCTGGCATGTAGCGACTATATGAGGATTTCTGCGAGTGTGCTACTTGACTTACCGCAGAGTCTGCTCCGTATTGTACTGGAACTGGCACAACTCGCAGGTGGTGCAGCGCGATGTGCTAATCCAACACTCCAGGCAGTGCACATGGACATATGTCAGCGAGCCCTTGCACAAACACGGCGACACGAGTCTGCAAACAAATCGGGGGCGGAAAAGTCGGAAGTTTCAGTGGGCGGGTGTGGCAGAGTGGGTGGCAGGCAGTGGCAACAATGAAAAATCAGGGGATTAAAGTGACAGCCAACCAGATAATCAGGGATAAAGTGCTCGATGGGGCGACTGGGGGGAAATGGGAAATGGAAAACTGGGGCGAGCTGGTGGCGCTGTCTGCAGTGTTCGTTTTAATTATTAATATAAATAAATGCATTCGCTCGCGGGATCTCTACTAAATGCATTAAATGTCGTGCAATTAATTTCCTGCACAATTTGCGGCTGCACGTGCGTAATTAAATGGAAGTTACAGCACCCTGAAAAACGATATTCAAATGGTATACATATACGCGTATGTATATTCAGTGCCAATTGGGGATTATTTTAATTTTCTCATTTATGAAAAATTGGAGACGGATCTTTGATACAAGTTTACTTTTTGTTAAAACCCATAATAGCAAACTGTAAATTATGCATGCATTTAATCTGCTAGTAGTGTTTGGTCATAAAAGGAATATCGTTCTACGGGTAAACTGACTTATCCTGGCATCTGAAATGTTACTCACTGTTCGGGATTATCGGCATTGTGACAAATGCGGCACACCAGCGATCCCACCGAGGGCATCGACTCATTGGATGCGGACTCGTAGTTCAGGTTGTTGCACTGGGTGGTTCCATCGACGCAGTGGCGCAACGTGGCAATGGAGTCCGTGGCCACGGGCTTGGTTAAGGATGTGGAATAGGCGGAGCAGGAGGCGGCGGCCAGGGCGGCCTCGGTGCTGGCCAGAGGATGATTTGGGTGTGAAAGCTTCTGGAACTGGACGTTTGGCTTTAGGTCCAGGGAGCAGGCTGGCAGCTGAGGATCCTCCGCATCCGTAGTTGTTCCATCCTTGCACTCAAAGCACTGCACCTTTGGCCAGGAACTGATGCGGGTCTCTACCACGATCATACCCGGAGGAGTGTCATCGGCACTACTGGAGGACAGTGCCTCCTCAATCTCCATCTCCAGGGTGGTTTCTGGCTTAAGGTCCGCAAGACTCTTTGTCGGATTAAGCCTTTGGCCACCGGCATTGGCGGTGATATCTGCTGGAGATCATTGAAATGGATGCACTTGTCATCTGCACTTGGGATCCTACACACTAACCACATATTTCGCACTCCATTCTTTGATCGGTTCGACGGTTTTTGAACATTGGGGTACCGAAATTAACCAAAAATTTTAATACATCTTTCGTAGAATATTGAAGTAGCTTTTGCTTTTCTTTTGATTTGTTTTGGATGGAATAGGTATGGTTGTCAATTGTTTCAAGGAGTACTTGCTTGTATTATCAAATATTTTGCTACGGATTATTTAAAGCACTTTATATTATTTAAATTTAATATTTCGCAGTTCTGGCTGCCATTGAACTTAATCGATTTTCAGTTCGATGAAATTTGTAGACTATTTTTTAATGAAAGATGCATGCCGTAATGGAGGCAGTTAAGCATGCGCTGGCTGGAAAACAAACTTGTCCCGCAGCCGAGTTGCCCACATTAATTGTAATTGACAGACTGGAACCGCGCTGTCAGTGCCCACGCAAAAACTGGCTTCCACGGGCAGCCCGCACCAAGTGGTGCTCCTCCTCCGTAACCTCCTGCGCCTCCAGTGCAGCCATAAACTCAAAATTGAAAGTGTAACAGTTACGGCAAATAACTTTGCCGGCGCTTGGCTTCCATTATGCGCCACTCCACGCGGAGGAGCAGGAATCCTCGGGTAATTTATGCCCCTGCCGTTAGTTCGTTAACCGTGAGTTTTCCGGGCAGGATGGGTGCCATTTCCATATCAGCTGACACTGCCGTCGCCTCTCGCCTCTCGCTTTTCGCTGTTCGCTTTTTGTGTGCCATGTTCCACCAAACTCAAGGATACACTTGAATCCTGGCTGAATCCTGTAAAATGAATTAAGTATTTAACAGCGAAAAATAGTTTATATCTAAAAGTTTTCGCTGCCTTAAAGATAAACTCTGGAGTAACATGCTATTCCTTCTGTCGAAATGTGGCTCCAAAAAACTGAGTACAAACTTCTGTAATTGGCTGAAGATATAAAGCGTTCTTTTGAGATCTGCAGGGTATTGAAAGCTATATTCAGCACTAATTGAGCAATAAATACCAGGGTATTTAAGTCTTCGGTCCACAATGGCAGCATTCTGTACTTGATTTTCAACTGCCCCTGCCGGAAGCTGCCGTGGAATCCGCTTGTTCAACTTGACTTCACAGGATTGTCCGTTCACTGTTGATTTATTACGCGCCGAGTGCCGGCAACGTTTTCATAAACGCTTTTCCACGGCTACATCGGCGAACATGAGCACAAGCAATTTACTCGTGTAATACCAGCGGCATCGAGCGGGCTGAACAAAAAAAAAGAAGTATATTAAGCAAAGTTTTAGGCTTTGTGAAAAGGCAGCGAACCCTTTTTAATGGCGACCTTCGTTCGCCGAATTCGGAGGCGAAAAAAAAGGAGAAGAATCAAAATCTGTTTACAACTTTGTTTACAAAATGCTGCCATTGAAGTCTTCATTTGTTTATTGTCCTGGTCGCAAGAACAACAATTTAATTTGGCTCAACTTCATTAAGTGCAGACCCAGTAATTTGCGAATTTAGGAATTGGATCACGCTTTCCGCTGGGCTTAATGTAACTTTTCACGCCATTTCCTAAGCTCGGACAAAGCCAGTGTGGCAACAAACTTACAACTGCAACAGCAAAAGCAGAAGCAAAGGCAAAAGCTATAGCCATTGCAAGTGCAACTATTTTTGGCTCCGTCGAGTTTGGCCAAGTCTAAAGTCTCTCTTGGTTAGAGACGCAGAAAATGCGTCAGCAAAGTTTTTAATGTATTTTCGCCAAGTTTTCCACACGCTCGCACATACACACACCACACATACACACATACACACATACACACACCACACACACTCACACACAGACTGTGGCAACCTCAGCTGAAACTTCTTTCATTTGGCATTTTCCTGTAAGATGACAGAAAAACAAAAAGGGAAAGTAATGGCTGAGGAGGTGAGTAGTGGTGCACGTAGAGTGAAAGTTTCCGGCCGCAGCGAACGCAAAGTGTTAAATAATATAAAACTATGCTTGTGGTATTTATTTAAACCTAAAGACATTACGAAAATTATACCCAGCAAAGTTTCAACACTCACGGGACTGCTCTGCAGCAACCTGTCGTCCCTCGGTGGAGATTTCCTGGGATTGGGACAACTTCTTGACAGGGGATATGGCTGAGAATCGGGTCGAGAGTCGTCTTGGCTGGCGCTGCACAACTTTTCACTTTTGACTTTCGCCGCCTTCAGCTTTGGAATTAAATATTAAAGCGCTGGCCTGGAATATCTAATTGAGCAACTCCGACTCGGGCGCTATAAAGCTGCCATTCGGATAGTTATTTTATTTTTGCCGCCTGTCGCGTCTACAGTTCCATTTGATTTCGCTTTACGGCGTGCAGAATCACAATTGCCTTGCTCGGAGGCCAACACGGCATTACTCATACGCACTGTGTGCCGGCGACAATAACGAACGGGTAAATCGCTCTCAATGTTGCCGAGATTTGACCTTTTCCCTCCTGCTGCCATCGAACGGTTTAATTTACATTTAGCCCAGACAATTCGCCAATGAAAATGGGGGGCGTAAAAGCGGCAGTAGCTCATAAAAGTTTTACAAGCGAATGATTTTTATTTTTACGTATTACGTGACCGCTTCCAATAGGCTGTGCCCCGATTTAAGTCCCGAATCGAATGAATTTATTAGATGGCCGCTAGTTTGTTACTATAAACACCCATTACTGTTTTTCAAATCAAAAGCCCAGGGGCTGAACAATTAAAATTATTAACGAGGTAGCATATTTTGTACTTTAATGTTGACAGTCGGCAACATTTAAAGTTTCCGTGCGCTGGAGTGGGGCCGAAAACTTTTTCCATGTAATTAAAATTGAGTATCACAATAGCCGGGAACAACCAGAGAAACTAAGGTCGTCAAATAAATTGGAAACAATGTGCCAAAAAGGGCACAAAGTGTGTGGGCGGTGGGCTGTTAGGAAATCACAGGCCGCTTTATTTGGGACAGAAGCGGAGACACAAAATCATGGTTAATGACTTTCCCCAAAAGATTTTCCAGCCAAGGACGAAGGCCAATGCGAAGGCAAAGGCGCTAGGCAATCAAATGAAAATGTAATTCAAGCAATAATAAAAATGCTACCAAATAAAGGCTGAAAATGGCGTCAAAGCTGTCTCATTGCCCGTTCGAAAAGGATTGAAGGCTATTTGAAACAATTGGAAATCGCGCTGAGCAAGCAGCTTTCTCGAAATTGGACCGACCTACTGACCTACGACCAGACTGGCTTAAAGAGTTTCGCAATTGTCAAGGGCCATTTGTATGAGAATCTTTCATTTCCTAGCAACGGGGCGTATACGTAACATTGGCCATTTCACGCTCAAATGTATACGGCTTAAGCGTGCGAACTTTTTCTTGTTTTTCACCGCCACGACTGCGCTTTGTTTGTTTGCTGATTAAATGGCAGTAACAAAAAGCAAAATGTTAAAGATTAACCAGCACCGGAACACCAAAAGAAAGTAAAAGGAAAGTAAACTTTGCGCTTTGTCTTCCATTGTGCCACCTCATCCACCTCATCCTCCCAAACCCCTGGGAGTGTTTGGGAATAACAGCAGACAAAACACGTTTAACTCACTTGCGAGAAAAAACTTTTAAGTGCGGAATTTGTAATGCTCCCGAAACTTTTGCCACGCGGCAGCGGTCCAACTGAGAAAAACACTTCATTCCGATCCCCTTTCCGTGTTTTCTTGTAGGTCTCCTGGATACGCAAACGTGATCTGCATATACTCACCGCCGGTGGCACAACCTACACATCCGATCAGCGTTTTCAGGTAAGACAGAATCCCCATCCCCATCGCCCCCAACCGGTTGGAAACTTAAAGTTTTCCGTGTCCTCGCCGCAGGTTCTGCGACCCGATGGCTCCGCCAATTGGACACTGCAAATCAAGTATCCGCAGCCACGTGACTCCGGCGTCTACGAGTGCCAAATCAACACGGAGCCCAAGATGTCCCTGTCGTACACCTTCAACGTTGTGGGTGAGTAATGGCCACGGTTCTTTAGCTTTCTTTGGACGGGGTAAACAACTTAATTTTCATTTTCCTCGGACCGTTGCACAATGTCTTACAACAAATAGTTTTTTTGTTTACAGGACACAGCACTTTTATTTTGACCTAATGTAATTGGTCTTCTGGATGTAATATTTATGTAGCTCACTTTGTGGCTTCATTTTTACCTCACAAGCTGGGTCGGCTGAAGCATAGTTTGAGTAATAAAAGTTTAACTGCAGTTGTAAATAACATTTAATCCCCAGAACTTGGGCTCATCTAGCTTAGAGATGTGCAACAGCTTGTGCTATCTCATAACCATTACCAATGATTCACCTCCGGAGCCTGATAATCAAAATTTCGACCATTATCCGGCACTGCAAAGTAGGCCAATCGAAACGGAAGGAGAGGGGAAAAGAAGACTGGCTTGAAATTGGTCACAAGCCACCGAAGTGATTACCTTTATGGGCTAAGCTATTGAAGCTCTCCAGCAGTTTTGAGCAAGCTATGCAGGCTTCCAGGAGCTTAGGCAAGCCATACAATATGCATGTTATTTTGCCAGGACCTCCTCCGGAACGTGTGAGCGCCGCTTGGAGCCATTCGGGCCACCCGTCGAGCGACTCAGCCAGCTTCCTTCCAGCATAAGAATGCTGCTCGAGATTATACAATTTTCAATTCGATTATGTGCAAATTGGCTTGCTGAGCAGAACAATTTGGTGGCTAAACGTGGGCGGGTGCTTGCTGCTTACCTCTTTTCCTTGCCAATTGGTCGGGTAATTAGTGTGCACTTGGGTCAGAAGCGAGCGAACCCTTGTCACACATCAGAAACTGGGTTGTGAAAGACGTTATCCTTGGCAGCACACTCGCCCGGCCGAAATATGTGTAAGCCTTGTTTGTGGGTTTTCGGCTTCGTTCCTGTTCGGTGCATTTTTATCGCATTTAATATTAGCAAAATGCATTTGGCTAAAAGCCTCTGGTGCGGAAGAATGCTCTCAATGAGCTTATTTGATCTCTGATTTGCACGCCCCCCCCACCCCACCCCACTCCAAAACGCTCGCCCGCTTGTTTTAGCCACACCACATGGCCAAGCGACTTTTGGCCAGTTTAAAATGCTTCGGTCAGGGCCCGACTCGGTTATGAATCTTTTAGTGAGTCCGGGAACGAGAGCTTTGAATATATGTTTACACGCATGCTGGACCAGGCACACTACCACTATCTACACGTATGTGAGCAAACTTGACAGGCTGACAAGTCAGCTTCAAACACTCACAGAGCCACATAGACAGACACATAGAGTCATAAATATTACATTTGCGGAAATGCAAATGACTGCGAGGCGGCTGCATATAACCGGCCACGCCCACACAACGCCCAGCAGCCTGGGATCCTGGAACTCATTTGAATGCCCAAAAAGAAATGTGCATATAAAATATTCGACATGCCACTCACGCGGAAACAGCAAACAGCAAACAGAAAACAGCAGGCCAGTGCGCACAGTGAAGTGAAAAGCATTAAAGCCACAAAATGTCTATTGCCAACATGGTAGTTCTGCAGCTGCATGAGCAAAAGTGGTATGAAATTATCACTTAGGTGTAATAAAAGAGGCCAAGTAATTTAAAAGTAAACGCTTACTCATTTTTCACACTTAAGCCATTTACGTTCGCGTTATGGTGTCTCCACTGTGCTGGGCTATGCCGTCATTGTCGCTGCAAACAAGTTTGTTGTTATGCCAGAATTTTTATGCGCTTATGCAAATAAAAAATTGTGCACTAAAAATTCCATAAATTTATGTTTTTTCTCCCACGGCTGCTGTTTCTTTTCGAAGCCAGTGAAAATTCTATTACACGCCATCCCGGCGAAAATAAAAGAGAAATGAAAGTGGAGAACGCGGCGAATGATAAACAAAACAGCGCCAAGTTGACCAGCGGCATCATAAACATAAATCGCCTTCGGTCTGGGCCATGCCTTCCGCCCACCATTCCACCTCCGCCCACTTAAAACCACCCACATGGCAACACTTCCCCCAACCCACAGACTTCCGCCTTGGCCGCAATATTTTTGACATTTTAATGCTGCAGCAGCCGCTCCAATTGCTTAAATTACCAACTTTATGTACTCCAGAAAAATGTAGCTTGGCCACCACCCAGTAGGTGTCAAAAGTGGGAGCATGTTTATATGCACATAGATAGCTCCGCACTCCAGACTCCAGACCCGACTCGATTTAATTTTGAATTTAAGGCAAATTACCAAACACGCTGATAAAGCGAGCAAATTGTAAATTAAATTATGTGTCCCTGTCCCACTCAAGCCGAGTGACAACAAGAGAACAGGACCCAACTGACAGCCCAAGGACGAGCAGCAGGATAAGTGCTGCTGGGGCGAAGAAAATAAATCGAGGGAGCCGAGGAACCGCAGCGGACCGACTTTGCCACACTCTTGCCCATACTATCATAATCTCATTATGCATAGGATATATCTCCGGCCTTCTAACATATATGGTCCCATTTTACTATTGAAATCTTAAGATTAGTTGGAGAGATTTTAAAAGAATTGAAGCATATACACTCTTGCCCATAATAACGACTCATTATGCATAGGATATATCTACCAGTCTTCTAAGATATATGGTTCCATTTTACTATTGAAATCTTAAGATTAGTTGTACAGATTTTAAGAGAATGGAAGCATATGAGGAAAACGATTGCGTGAAACCCAAGTACCCCGCGGGTAGCGCATAATAAGAAAGGTGTTGTTGATGCTTCTGGAAAAATTTGTTTACCAGCGTGAATGTAATCAAGCGTAAACGCTACCTTTCTTAGTCGAGGGGCTGGAAAAAGGGGGAGTGGAGAACAAATTGCACAGCCAGCGGAAGAGCTGCAGCCAGCCGAAGGATCTAAGGATGGGAGATCTGGGGAGCAGGAATTGGAGGTAATTTGAATGCGTAGCTGACAAGATGGAGATGCCAAGTAGATGGCTCATTTTGGGCACCATAAACCAACACTTTGCCTCGCTGATGCTGTTGACATTAGCAGCCAGCAAATTGCATGCAATCAAGCGCAAATAATAATCCAAAGCATAAGCAACAGCAACTCGAGAGCAATAAACAAATTCTGTCTGCAGGACTTCATCCCTTTTAGAACGGCGTTTAAAACTCACATTTACCCTAGGGGAAGATACAAATTAACTTTAATTGCCAAAGGAATAAGACAGATTATTAATGGGTTTTAAGTTCTATTCGGTTAGGAAACATATTAAAATCTTAGCTATAATCCATTTATTTGATTGAAAATCACAGCCCTTAAAGTATTAAATTTTAGTTACTTTTAATAAATTGTTCAAAGAAAAACCCTGAAAATTCACAAACTCTTGACACTGAAACGTCGAACAACTAAACCGATAATAACTTCCACTGGGACACTTTCTTGGGAAGTGGCTTTTATTATTTGGTTTTTCCTCAAGCGGCACTAAATTAGTTTCAGCTCGGGGAGTTTTCTTTGGCAGCTTCAATGGAAAAATAATTGTGTGCCCCAAAAATCCATTAACGTGGCCTTGCCAAAAACAAAGAAATCGTTATAAGCCAGAGTTTGCAGTAATACTCTAGAGCAGAAGTTCGGCTCTGCCACCCAATTGTTTTCTGGGGTTAATAGACGAAAGCCAAGAAAATGTTGGCAATTATGATGCACATTGATTGCTCAAGAAGCGAGCACTTGAGCCGGCTTAAAAGTTAAGCGATTCTCATTGTCTTTCCAACGCCAAAATGTTGTTGCATTGTCTTGGGCCTGACCCAAATCGCTTGCAAATTGCGAAAACATTTAACATTTGCTTAGGGTGCACAACAAATGGCCAGGTGAGCAAGTGTCCGTGCGAATAGAGTGAAAGAAATAAGTTTTTATAAGGACGAGATAGCAAGGACTCGGCCCAATTTGCCCGGCAATCAAATGTTTTGCTTCCCATTTCGTTCATTTGCCGCTCAAATTACATTCTACAGCGAATGCCTAGACCAAAAAATGCCCTAATGATAAATTACTCAGATATTGCCGAGAAATAGGATAGGCGAGCTGTGGGGGCGGGGGAAATGATTAATGTCTCTGCAGCAATGTCGAATTATTAATAATAATAATAATCACAACAATGGAGACTACTGAAAAGGCCGAAATTTGGGACTTCGTAGGCAATGATGATGTTTTGGCATTTTCATTTCGCCGTTTTTTTGTGGAATGAGGGTTCTTGAATGGCACGGCCATTCTGACAGGCAAATGGAAATGGAACTGACGGGGGGCGGAGTACTTCATCAATTGTGCTGGCAATGCGGCTGACTTTTACAAATTGAATTTGTTTATTTGATTTGACAATTAATTCCGAGCAATTGCACGTCCACGTCCGATTAATTGTCGGCCCAAAACCTTAAAGAGCACGGCCCACTTTGATATTGTTTTCCGTGCAATAAATACCGAGAAGTTGCTACATGTGTGCAAACATGCATCAACACAGGCGAAGGGTAATAAATTTTTACAGCTCTGCTCCGCAAACGAGAGAGCAGAAGGATTCCGCAGCAGGCTGCTGCGATGCAGCGGCCCCAAAAAGTATGCCATGTTTTGTGCCGGGCCCACAGCAAAGTTCATCGCTCCAAATGTTTATGGCCATATAGGCTTATGCGCATTTTATGCACGAAATCAAGAAAAATGAAAATGCATTTCCCGGACCCCGGACCCCAGACCCAATGCCCACGCCCAATCCCTGCTTGCCTCGCTTGCAACTTTCTGCTGCGGCTGCACAAAATTCTCCACTGTCTGAGCCCGAGCTGGCTGTGTGTAAACAAGGCTCGGCAAGGACTTTGTTTGCCAGGATAGTGCTGGGTGGGACGGGCGGGCAAAGGACGACGCGGGCGTTGTGACTTTGGCTTGCGGCCAGGAGTAGACTTTGCAACTTTTCGGGCTGGGTCAACAGCGACCAGGTCTAATGAAAACTTCAAATAGCCGTGTGGGTTGACTGACTGCCTCGTCTTCCATCTCGTCTCCCATCTCATCCAAATGCAGCTTGCCAATTGCCCGGCCCACTTAATCTAATTATAGTTAAATAACCAATTTTCCAGAGGACCTCCTCTCGAAGCGATTCCCATTTATTCCGACTGTCATGCGGGTTCGCACCTGGGCGAAACTAAGATCCTTTGGAAACCCCCACCCTGTGGGAACCACAGGCGCTTTGTCAGCTGCATGTGTCTTTGTCTGTGTGTGAGTGTGAGTGTGTGTGTGTGTGAGTCTGGGAGGCAATAATTTTCGCAGGCACGGCTCCTTGCACTGCGAGGTTGGCAAAAGTCATAGACGGTTAGCTTTCGCTGCCACAATTGTTTTGCCAGGTACACACACATCCGTACATATGTACAGGCTATAGAGTACAACAACGGCCATCAGCGGCAACAACATGCCTCACTCGGCACTTTTGCCACCTTTTTCCACTTTTCTCGCTTTCCTCGGAACCCTGGGACCTAGATATATATGTGCGGGTCTATAAAACACCCAGATAATCGCCCAGCATGTTCGAATTCCATTTGGGGTTGGCACTGCTGCCTCTTTGTTTTGGGGATGTATATTACTTTTTCTACTTGGCATTTCATTTAGATTAACATTTTTGGAACGCACACCTCTGCAACTGATTTAAGGACCGACTTAAAGCTTGGCTGCCGAAGGAGTTATGGAAAAATCATCAGGCTCACACTTTTTGCCACTGCTTTTTGGAGCATTCAAATTTCGTTTTGTTCGCTTTTTGCCACACGATTGAATGGCAGGCAGCTCGCCGCAAAGCTTAGCCACATCAATGGGAATAAGAGTGTGTGTTTCAGCTCGATACAGATGTTCCAGTTGCAATGCGCCCCCTCCTGTTTTGGCTGCAATTTATTTCACTGGCTCTGCGGTTGTTTAGGGCCTCAAAAGTTCTCCTTTCCAGCAGTTTACGACGGGGAAAGTGGAGCAGAAGCGAAAGAGTTGGCGCTCACTTTGGGGAAAAGCTGGATTTTGAGTTTGAGGCAAGAGCGATTGGGAACGCGATCCATTAGGCCGACTGTCAGCCATCATAAGCTTTAAGTACAAATCACATTTAGCGGCTGCCCATGATGATGTTACTCAATTGAAATCATTGACGCTGCGACAACAAAAGGCACTTCAATGGTTGACATTTTGATTTCGCGGTCCAAACGGAAGGCAGAAAATTCTTTCCAATCTGCCAGGCTTTTGTCTTTTTTTTTTTCATTTATTTTTTTGCCAATTCCGCTGAGAGCGGTGCCGGAAAAATCAGCTAGCTAGCTGCAGGTATCAGCGCAGTGCCCGACTGCCTTTTATATGGCATAACAAAAGCTTATCGCCAGCATAATAGAGACACGCGTCTGTGTAATAAAGTAGGGACCAGGCTCGGCAGTACCCACACTTGTACACTGGCAGACAAACGTGCACTTGGACGTTATCATTAACATTATTATTATTATCATTGTTACGGCAAAGAGGGAAGAGAGTGGGCTTTGTGTACTGGCAGCCAAAGTGACTTTTTCTTTTCTCGTTTATTTTGTTTCATTTTCTTTGCAGAACTCAAAGCGGAAATCTTCGGGCCCAGCGATCTGATGGTTAAGACCGGCAGTGACATAAACCTAACATGTAAAATTATGCAAGGACCCCACGAGCTGGGCAACATATTCTGGTACAAAGGTGCGTATGCGTAATGAACTTCGCCGGCCTGCACCTTGGCCCATTTTGGCGCACCTCCACCTCATTTACGCAATTCAATTTGCTACTCTTCGCATTACAGGCAGCGAAATGCTCGATGGCAAGAGCGAGAATGAAATCGACAGCTCCCTGGCCCGGATTCGCGTCGAGGATGATTGGACTGACGGCCTGACTTCCAGGTATGTAACGACTCAACATTCCACCATTCCACCATTCAGCCATTCAGCCATTACGCTATTCCGGCATTCCGCTTGGCAAACGTGCAAATGTGTGCCGAGCATTTCAGTTATTTCGCATTAAAATACCGCCTCACTTAATTAAGGACAGGTACCCACCACTCGGCATAGGGTAGTTTAAAGCCCAGTCGAGCTGGTTTGTTATAGGCTGCAGTCCTGCAGCCATGTCCTCACCAGCCGGCTGGGGAAACACGGACCACGACTTTGAATGACATTTTGAGGCCAAAGCGAAGGACGAGTCTCGGCCAGAGGACCAAACGGCAGTCTGGCTCTGGAGAGCATCGAGGAGAATCTGTGCAGGGATATCCTTACTTCTCTTTAGAGTGGTTGGTACTCCTTAGAGAGTACCTTTCTTAGAAATGAGTTTATTACAAATAGGTAACCATTACAACACATAGCTTTATAGTTACGATTGACCTCTTGCAGTGTGGTATCATCTGGTCCCATCACTCCACTCCTTAAGCTCATCCCTTCGCTGTGTGTCTGAGTTGTCCGTGTGCGACTTTTAATTTGCTTTCGTTAAAGTCACAGCTAAGTCAAAGCCGGATTTGAGCCCGGAGTCTGTGGCCGATGTAGCTATTTGCCCAGTTTTAGTTTCCGCCACGCGATCATTGCCCATTTATGCTGTTAACTAACGACGCAGACGACCATAAAATGCAGGTGCCGTCGACGGAGATGGAAAGGGATTAGAAAACGTTCTTGGAAAGAACTGCACTGTCAACAATTCCTTAACCTTTTAATAAAATGTTTAATATAGTGTTTGGCTAAGAAATTGATTAAAAATCTGGCTAGCTCATAAATGGATTTATTTATGATATCCATGTTAACAATTTGTACTGTTCTAAAAGATTTTGACATGTCAGAAGATAGAAAACAAATGTGCAGAAAATGCTGCTACCTGAACGAACTCAATGAAGTGACAGCCACTAATTAAGCTAATGCATGATAACTTTTAAACATTAAATTAACCAACAAAATATTTTCCCTCAATGCAAGTAACTTTGAAATAGAGTCAGTGGTGGAGGCAGCTCGGTACACATTTTGCTATCGCATAAAGTAGCAAAAGTTTTGTGCTTTTTGTTGAAGTTTTTTTGGCTCTGGCCGTTTGGCTGTGCTCCCCACCTTCCGTGCACTGCCATTTCCATTTCAGCCACTGCATTTCACTTTCTCTATGCTTTCTCTTCCCGGTGCTCCACCCTGCTCCACCCGGCTCCACCCTGCTCCATGGCACAGATTAAAAATCAAGCGCGCCATGCCCGGCGATACCGGCAACTACACCTGTGTGCCGACGGTGGCAAAAACCTCGAGCGTCTATGTGCACGTAATTATTGGTAAGTAAGGAGTGGCAGTGCAACAACGGGCTTAGTCCTGCTGGTGTTTGTGTGCTGTCAGGGAGTTTTGCATGTTTATGACGGGAAGTGGAAGTTGCCTGTTAGCAGCGGCACATTCGCAATTTGTAATGCCAAGTGCAACGGGGGGAGTGGCCGCGCAGTAATTGCATTGCACCAGACTCGGCGAGAAATTGCTGTTCGCTTTTTATTTTTTAGATTTTTTTTTGTTTTTTTTTCGTTGCCTTTTCCACATGTTTGTATTTGTGCAGCAGCACGGAAATTATTTCTAGTTGCCGCTGCAGCAAGGAAGTTTTGCTGCAGGCCAATAACACGGGCCATGTGTGCAAAGTCGGCTGAAAAGGGGGTTCGGGGATTTATGGCAGCAGCTTGTGTGCTCGAGAGATCATCGAGAACTTTAACAACTTTGGCTGCCAATGTTTTTCTTTGGCTCTAACGGAAAGTGCATGCATGCCAGCTAAGTGCTATTATTATAACTGACGAAGAAAAGCCCAAACAAAGCCAATCAGTGATTGTTTCGAACCAATTAATAGATGAACATATAGACTACGTGCTATTCCATTCGTCGAGTTGAGCATTCTGTCAAGTGAAAGCTAAAGGCAATCAATATCGATTGTCAACAGATTTTTTGCTCAAGCATCCAGTAGAGTTGCATTCTTTTGCTTTAAGCTCCAGTAACTCGAGTAATGTACTGAAATATTCCAGGAACGTGTGTTGTAGGAAATATTCCGCCATCCCTAATTGCCTTTTTGATTCTGCTCTCCAACAGGCGAACATCCTGCGGCCATGCAACACAATTCGAGTAGCAATAGCAACAGCTTCTACTGCGGCATCTGCTGCATGCTGCTGAGCATTGTGTCCTGCTGCCTACAGCACTTTTATGAAACGGGGTGTGGATATCTTCATGCCACGGCAGCGGTGGCAAAATCCGCGGGAATGGGGCCCCCGAAGCGAGGAACGCTAACGACCAGCGAAATAGGAATAAATGCAGCAAAAGCTGCAGCAGCAGCATCAGCAGCCTCAGCAGCAGCCGCATCTGCAGCAGCAGCAGCATCCACATTAGCAACGTGCAACATGTTGAGAGAACGCCCAGCGGCAATTCGGTGTCTGAGATGAAGGAATAATCAACACGCAGCGAAACACTAAAAAGGCAAAAACACAATTACTCACACACACAACATTGACACACATATTCAAGGTGATTTAAGTTTTCTATGTATCGCATGGGGGGCTCAACCATAAGTATTATATTTACGTACTTGTAAGGATTGCACTTAGTGGAAAAGCAAACATATTATCTGATAAGCGAACCAGTATATAACAACGTTATATCACAAAGAGTGACAGCTAATCCCTGGAAAACTGAGAAAACCTATGCATTTTCGTGGGGAATCATACTCTACGTGATCTCCGACTTAGAGGAACAAAGGCTACTTAATTTACATTGTTTTGAATTGGTCCATTAACCAATCGAATAAAAGGACGCCCCAAAATCACATATTATTACCAAACTTGTTTGACTCCTGGACTGCCTTACAATGTCTAGAGAAATGGGTGAAAAACGATTGATCAAAACCAAACATCCGTCTTCTAACCATATTCAAGTGTAAGTTGTCTGTAAAACTCATTCCTGCTACCCAATATTGACTGCACACCCATAGCAAAACCCTACACACCTCTTCATTATGAAATAAGACTTACTAGCTATAAATACCCCGAACAGTCGGATTATCGACCAGAGAGCCAGTACTTTGGAATCACAATAACCCCACTTCTATGCAATCTTTTACTGCCAACTAACTCGCACTCCACAGTAGCCCATTGCATCAAGTTGTTCGATGGAAATTTGCTGTAAATAATTGCCATTCAGGAGAAATTTACTCAAGAGTACTTGGAGCCATGTGTAAGCCCAGCCAATTGAGAACAAAAGATCGTTCTGTGTTCTATTGCTTTGCACATTTATCAGTTTTAGTTATTAGCTATGTTTAAGTACGATAATGGATGTATGTATAGCCGATAAGCGGATAAATTACGGGAGCGGATGCTGAATTTCATCCATCAGTTCTCAAAAGTTGGGGATTAACCTATTTGTGTCTGACCCAATTGTGGGTGAAGCTCGTTTAATTGTACATAATTAGTTTTGGCTAGAAACAAACAAACGAAAGAAACAAATATAAATGAGGGGGAAATTTAATATTAAATGCAATTTATAATTGTGCTTATCGATATAATTGATATGAATGCATTGCGAGTGTGCAGGCACTGTAAATAAATTCATTAGTAGACGAAATTGTAATTTTAATTAACTCTTAAACGATATAAACAGATAAAACCGATAAATGCGATTCGCAGGCTGGGAACCGCCCTAGTTGGTAAGCCGCACACTGAGGCAAAATTGGCAAAACTCACACGCAAACCAAATTAACTAAACCACACTAAGCATAACACAATTCAAATAATAGTAAAAGCTAGTTAAATTTAACACGGAGCCCAGGACTCAGAGCCCGCATCTTGTAAATAGAGTGAATGGATAGTGAATTATTCGGAATTAATCGGAATTAATCGGCAGGCGATTAACTAAGCTAAATCCGTTGAGTGTCAAGTATTACTGTCGGCTCCAGTTGATGGAAAATGAAAAAAAATCATTAAAACAATAACGAAACCCTAGCAAATACGTTATGTACAATTGTATGTCACAGCAGTGCAGCTAACAAGTATACATACATATATAAGCCAGGTACTCTCAAATCATTTATATGTGTGCGTATCCATAGGTACCCTACTTATGCATATACAGATAGGATTGTTTAAACGCCACATCAAAAACACGGACACTGCAGGCGAGAGTTTTGTGAAATGAAACCGAATCGATTCAATAAAATTATAATTTAGAAAATTTAAAATCCCTCGTTATCCTGTGTGGGTCGGGCATGGAGCTATCATTTCGTCACTCATGGAAAATACATCAGAATTATCATTACCATTATTCAACACTTTCTTAATTTCATCTGACTGCTTGTTTATGTGAGCCACAGACTACACTAAATTGTGGAATTAGAATGAATTATATTTATTTCATTTGCATTCCCATGCTCCCTTTCGAGAATCAAACACATATTAAGAAACTAGAACCAGATCGCTTTTGACAGCTGAGTTCGCCAGAAAAACCAGTTTGTCATAGTTTTGGGGGGAATGCTAGTAATGCGTTCATTGACTCTCGGCATAATGTATTCAAATGGAATCATTGGTTAGATGTCGCAAACGCTGATGTTGATGTGATGGGTGCCGTCCAAAATTGATTTAATTGCAATTCGTCTCCAAATGTGGCGGGATTGATGAACCGTTCGTTTCTTATTCGCCTTGATATTAATATTAGCGAAAGGTATAAATAAAACCAGAACTGGGTAGACGCATTTCAGTCCGTTATTGTCCAGGTCTAAGAACATGCTGCAGATGTCACTATCGCTGCTGCTGTTTCTGGCGCTTTTTGCCAGCTTGGAAACAGGTGGGTTCTTTTCCCAGCACAAAAGCTTATTCTAAACAATACGAGTATATGTCACAGCACCACCTTCCCCATCTTCATCTGGAGTTAAGCAGGAGCAATATGTGCGGGTATATGAAATCAATGAAGACCAGTACCAGCGGGTCTTGCAGCTGACCAATGGCAAGAATGTTATATCTGAGGCCCGGCTGATCAACGGAGGCTTTGCCACCGTGAGTGATACCTTGAGTTCCGGATGGAACTCTCTCCTGCGGATCGTGGGCCTCACCACCCTCAGCAAGCCCGACGAGGCCGAGAAAGTGGAGTTCGATGGTCAGCCCCTGTGTGTGATCAAATCCCGAGAGGGAGAGGGCAGGGATGAGGATGCGACCTCCGCTAGAAGCTCGGCCAGGGACATCGAAGACGACGAAGAAGATTCTGCCATCCACTGCATAGTGGTGCTCAAGAAGGATGGCGAGCTTGAGCTCCCCACCCAGGATCCTTACCCAAATTACGCCCACTATTGGAACAAAGCTGAGACGTCTAACCCAGCAGAGGAATCCCCTCTTCTCAAGCAGTCCTTGGAAGTTAGTAAGGAGAAAGAGGCAGTGGAGACCAGGACACCAGCTCCATTAAAAAAAAAGAAGGTCAACAAAAGCACCTATCCAAGGGCGGGCACTTTGAGGGACGACTCTGATGGTTTCCGGCAATATGGTTACCCTCCACTGCCGCCCCAATATGGAACTCCCTATCCGCCACCTCCCTCCTATGGCGGCTATCCCTACAGTCCCTATCCAAGTCCTCTGCCATATGGACCCCAACTTCCGTATGGACCATCCCCATATGGACAAGCTCCGTATGGACCCCAACAACCCTATGGACCCCAGCCCCCCATTGGTCCCTACAGTCCGCAGCCCTATGGACCCTATGGATATCCCTACTTGGATCAGAACCTGTTGGCTCAAGTCAATGCCATTGAGGAATTAGAGAAACTCGAGGCCGAAGATGACCTGGAGGAAGATGAAGGCTCCTACGAGACTGAAGATGAAGATGACTATCGCTATAAGAACCGTTTATACCCCTACAATCCTGTGTACCTCCAAAAATCTTATCATAACTAATAAACAAGACAAAGTAAATACACATTTTGGCTTTATTATCCAAGTAAAGAGACAAGTCTGGGACTCACTTTAGTTAGGCGTTTCTTAGAATATATCTTCTTGAGTATCTATGAGTAATTTCTCTGTAGTATCGGTCTCCTTTGCAAGCTCGAAAAAAGAAATTATGTTATCATTCAATCAGCAAAACTAGCATAGCTTGTCGTGTTTGGGTAGAAAACTCATTAATTAAACGAGTTTTGGGCAGGGCGAGATCATGATGAAGAACTGGGTCAACGCGTAAATTATGGAGATTGGAGTCGATTAGTGCAAAGCGCTAACTGTATATGAGCAGTTTGGGTTGATCCATTTAAATAACAATGCCGAAAGGGAATTTCGGTTCGTCAAGTCGTCAAGTCGTCAACTTGTCGGCAGAGAAAGACTTTTGAAATATATAAGCAAGGGAACAGAGCAAAATAAGCTTATTCGCAATCGCCATGAAGTTCTTAACAGTTCTGGCGGTGATCGTTCTCTGCGCAGCTGCGGCCCAAGCTGGTGAGGTTTTCAGATACTTAATCCTGGCAAAAGGATGCTAATGATCTCTAATGATCCACATGACAGGCTCGAGTCGTCCGCAGCTGGTGCGTCTGCATCAGGTGACTCGGCAGGAGTACAAAGAGCTGCTCCGGCTCGCCCAGGGCAAGGAGGAGGTATCGGAGGCCCGTTTGCTCAGCAGCTCGATTGCCGGCATCAAGGGATTGGCGTCTGGCCTCGCCGCTGGCAACTTCATTCCAGCTATCTTCAGTTCCGGCTCCAGGGATCAGCCCAAGAAGGGACGTCCGCTCTGCGTGATCTCCACCAATGACCTGGACCAGGATCAGGAGCGGCGCTTGGGTCGTGTGGTGAGCATTGAGTATGAGCCCAATACCGACTCCAGCTCCGGATCGGGATCGAGCAGTGGAAGTGGCAGTGGTAGTGGAAGTGGTCATGGCGGACACGGTGGTGGTCACGGCAGTGGCCATGGAAGCGGACACGGCAGTGGCCATGGAAGCGGACACGGCAGTGGTCATGGCAGTGGTAGTGGAAGTGGAAGTGGTAATGGAAGTGGCAGCGATGACGACGACGATGATGCGACCACTGTCAACTGCATTCTTGTGGTCAATGGCACCGACTTCACTACCACCACAACTACGCGAAAACCAGCTCACGGAAATGGACAAGGGAACGGTCATGGTAGCGGACATGGTAGCGGATATGGTAGCGGATATGGTAGTGGATATGGCAGCGGACCCAGGCCAGGTGGGTATTACCCACCACCTCCTCCGTTCTATCCCCCCTACTACGGCTACCCACCGTACTATCCACCCTACCCCTACCCACCACCATCTCCAGGATCCCAGAAGCCACCGCAAACCGGCGGAAACAGGCGATCCGTGGACGACGATGAGGAAGCGGGTCGTCTTATCGATGCCTACAACGGATTCTACCAGCCTGAGGGATTTAGTCCCAGGAGTGGAAAGTACTCGAAGGTCAGCCAGGATACCTCGGCCTATCAGCCAGCCAGCTATCCCCAGCAGGAGTATGCCAATACCTATCCCAAAGTGGTGCGCAACTACGGACTGACCCATCCGTCTCCTGTCTACGTGCGATCGCCACAATTCGAACAGCAGCAGTAGAACAAGTTGCACTTTTGAATAAAATGAGCTAAATTATTAATTACGAAAGCGTTTCCATTGAAAGTTGGGCTCATATTTACACGCATTTTTTATAGAGTGTATAGAGTGCCCTCAGCTGTAGTGATACTTGTGGATTAAAGATGCTTTAATCGAGTCAAACGCATACATGTGTAGGTTTTGAACACATTGCAATGCATTGCTGGTGGGGCAGAGAGCCATCAATAGCAGACGCATGTGCCTTCATAATTGGACTCCGAATTGAGTGGCAGTATCGCTCATTTGTTGCATGTTTGTGAGAGATGTCCCACACACATAGTACGTGCGTGTTTGATCAAAAGTGTTACAAGGTCCTGCCACTAACAATGCCAGAAAGAAACGTTGATCTAGGCAACACAACAGAGCCACCGTGTAAACAAGCAGCATTACACTTTCCTCTGCCAAACAAACACACGCACATAGGAGTATTGGGGCACAACGACAATTGAAAGTGTAACACATCGTTGCCTTTTGTAGAGCTGCTGCTGCTGCTACCTCTTTGCTGCAGTTGCACGGGAAAAAAATAAAAAATATTGTCTTGGCAAATGGAAACAGCTGTCCAAATAAAACAGATCAGTTCTGCAGCTTTAAGCGCCATGCGCACATTGAAAAGAGTGCATGTTATTTGAGTTTGAACTGATTTTTTTCGGTGCACAAACTGATAGTCGGATAGTGACACACAGTCATGCGCTGGCGAAGGACAACTAACGCACAGGCATAAAAGAGAATAAATTAAAGAACAACTCAAAATAACCGCGGGGCAATTGGCAGTGGGGCATCGCATGTGGGCGGAATGGGCGTGGCGATTTGAACGCCCGTTCGTGAGTGCATCGATGGCAGTGGGGGATAGTGGGTGGTGGAATAGGGTGATACGGTCGCCTTTGGCTTCATTGCGATTTTAGCCTGAGCCTGTCAGGCCGCAACGACGCCACGCCACGCCCACTGTGCTGCCTACGCCCAGCCACACAGTGTTGTGTCTATGCACTGCAAAATAATTACTTTCATATCCTGCGGCAATTAAATTCATTTAGTTTGCCACCAATCTCCCCAGCACTCTGATTAAGACATTCATCCCGCTCCGCATTCAACGGCTTACGCTTGTGGCTTTTGAACCCAGCTCATAGTCGCCACCAACCACCCGTTGGCCACCCGTTTTGGCCACTCCTCCACGCTCCTCCAGTTCGGCCTTCGTCTGACCAAGCAACTCTAAACTATGTCAACTGTTAACTTTTCCTTTCTATTTTTGCTATTTGTTGCGCGCTCGTTGTTTTTGCAGCCGCTGGCATTCCGCTCCTTTGGCCTGCATGTTTTTCAAGGACTCTACATAGTTTATCCAGCAACATCAAGCGCACCCACGCACACACACACACACGCACACATAAAGGACGAAAATGCTTGTAGCTGCCATTTTGGACATGGCTGAGTTGAATGTAAGCAAATTGCTAAGAGCCCTGCAAGTGTGCTGCTCAGACAGATACAAAACCAGAACGGAATGGCCCTAAAATTGCTGTCCTCAAAAATGCAGTAAAGTGTTGCCAAAGAAGTTGTTAACGCCAATGGAAAATCGAGGCATGCGTGACCGATTAGACGTGGCCTAAAGTAAGGGGTAATGTTGTGGAATTGAAAGCAAAATAAAATTGGCCTTGATTCAAGTGGAATTTGTTCAATAGTAGATTTTAATTATTGATAATATAAAGAAAAAGAACTGCAACTATTGATATCAATTGTTTATATTCGATCTCAGACACAAATATCTATAGTCGAATAATTTGGTGATGTTGAAGTTATATTTAAACCAATTTGAATTTCAATATTTATTATCTCTCATTTATATTCAAAGGGTCTTCCAAGCCAAAGTTTGCTTAATGCACGGCTGTATTTATATTTGTGTTTGGTTTTGGTTTTGGACCTCTACAAGTGTCTATTGCATTGATGAAGATGAATTAGGTCTTGAATAATTTCTGGTGGCAAAAGTCAGGCGGCGTCCTCAGCGCCTCGTAATCATCTTCATCGTGTAAATGTCAATTTAACGGAATATTAATGCAAGTACGCCATTGCAAAGAAACACCCACACCCGCTCACACACACAAACACAACCACCCACACCCACCCACACATGGACAAGCATACGTCTTCGACAGCAGCGGAAGTGCGCACACAAATACACGCTCGAGTGCCATTTTGTTAAGGCGCAAAAATTGATAAGTGCCTTGTGGTTACTGCGGTCTTTGGTGGCCATTAACATGACGCAGGGGCATGAGGTGTGTACACTGTGCACCCAACATGGCACGGCACCCACACAAGGATAATAAAATGTGCTCCATGAGAGGCTGCATGAGCAGAAGGGCGTTATTTGCACGTCAATCAAACATGGCGTCAAATAATCATTAACAAACTCACGCACACACGCACAAACAATGGTGTGATTTAAGGATTTTTAAGGAGTGGCTTGCATGTGATAAGTGTGTGTGCTCACGTGTGTGCGTGTGTGCGTGTGTGTTTGTGTTTGCTGTCATGTAGTTGTCCCTGACATTGGTTTTGCTTGCTGTTGATTTGGTGGCTTAACTGATTTGTGGTTGCCGAGGCTTCGGGGAAGCCGCCGCATCTGGATTTGCAGATAAATGCCACATTGGTTGGCATTCAACAGCGGAAAAGGGCCATAACCGCTTGAATAAGGCCTTGAAATTGCGTTAGCACATATACTGCAATTAAGAACGAGAGATACGAAATGTTTGCTGTATCACTTTTGAAAATAAATCTATTTTTTCATACCTTTTAGCACATTTTAAAGTTCGTCGAACAAAAGGCCTACCATTCGTACTAAACTGAAACACAATTTGAAATTTTTTGAAGAACACACTGGTTTTTGGTGGCTGCACGCCTGCCGTTGGCATTTAATAATCACTTGTCAACTTGCGCAAGCTGAAAGCCCCGATTGGCAATTTGGTATCGATTCCCCATGCCTTCCTCGGCCCTTTTTGGAGCACTAACCAGTTCACCTGGCCCACCTCGAGCTCGAGATGGAGCTGAAAACCTGAAACGTATGTTCGCAGCACTAACGAGCTGTGATTTTTCTTGCCATCAGCAGGGCCTGAATGGAGTGACTGCAAGTCAATGCGATTGGCGTCAATTAAGTGCCATAAGCGACACAATAAGCCGTCAGTCAGTACGTCGGTCCTTTGGTCCTTTGGTCCTTCAGTCCGCCATCCGGCCGGAGTTTAACGCTCTTCAGCTCACTCCGGCTTAGTTGGGCCTCGGCTTTTGACACACTTTCGAGCGGCAGCAGTGGCAGAAGCAGTAGATTGATTGGCGCCACTCAATTGGCAACCTTTTTGGCCTGGTCTCTTATAGTATGGTATGGTATAGTACGGTATGGTGTGGTATGGTGTGGTATGGAGTGGTATGGTGTAGTATGGCATGGTGTACCCGCTTTGGTTTACCGATGACTTCATGTGCAGCATCGTTACACGCATCGCTTACCATCATCCATCGGCTTGCTTTTTCCTCCGACAAGCGATTAGAATAAATTGCAACAAGCTGGCAAAACGACAGGCCTCCAGATTGGGTGTTCGATGGTTTCTGGTCCTGATTCCAATACCGATTCGCATTCGCACTCGGAGTCCGATGCCGATGCCGATTCCGATTCGAACTCAACGGTATGCATTTGACACGAGTGCCGATTTCTGCCTCAATAATTTACCCAATATCTCAATGTGTATCTCAAAAGTTCTCGAAACTCGAGTGCGTCAGCATGGGCGGGTGAGTGTAATCAATTTTAGTGGCAACGCAAAGTTTTTCAATGCGCTGCCATTCAATTAAAAATTTGTGCAGAACTTTATTTTGCTGTTAAGTGGCAATCTACATGCATTCCCTCACTCTTCATCATATCCACTATACGTGTATATAAATGGGTGTGTACTACTGGGGGTTTACCAAACGAATATGTATATCGTTTGCTGGTTTTCTGCATCGCACATCGCGCACATCTGTAAATACAACTATAAATGGCTTTGAAGAGTTTCTCTTTTCGGCTTTCTTTTTTATGGTTTTGTTTGGGTTGATTTATGTGTACATGCCAGTCAAATTGATGAATTGCCTTTGAAAGACGATCAAATAAAATCACAAGCGTTGCGAAAGGGGCAAAGGACCCAGCCCTATAAGTTGTGCGATAAATTTCAGTTTCAAAATTTAAGCAATTAATTCCATTGCAACATTGCCAATTCTATGAAGATTGCCTAGTTTTATATTTATTGGTTGAGTTTAAGTAATAGCTTTTCACCCTGCTGACATGAAAAAAGTTCAATTTCGTTTGTGGAAATGAGCCATAGCTGGTGTCTGTTGTTTTGAAGACAACAAATGTGATATTCTATGCATAAGTTAATCAAAATTTGTTTAGCAATGCACAAGACCAGCTCGCACACACATAAGCCTCTTGAAAAATGACATCAAACCGAGATAACCTGGATAAGAAGCAATAGCAGCAGATGACGACGAAATTGAAAAATAATAACAAAAAGTTACCCTGGCAGCCGTCGTTGTATCTCGGTATCTCAGTATCTTGGCATCTCGGCTCTAATTTAATGCGATGAGTTCTCGTTGTACTTTTTGTTTTTAATTTATCCTGCAGCCCGCAGCACTTTCCCCACCTGCCATTTCCCCATTGACTTTCCCCATTTTCCTGGAGCACCTGTCTCCATTCGAGCTGCTGCCATTATTCAATCTGTTGGCCGTCATAGTTGCTGATTCTACTGCTGCTGCTGTTGGTGCTGTTGGTGTTTTTGCTGTCGGGATCTTGTTTGTGTTTATGTTTTAATAAAACAGTGCCATCCCCCTGGTCCTCACATCACCCATCACCCATCACCCATCACCCATCACCCATTGCCCAATCCCATCCCGCCCACAGATGCTGGCAAAGTCAAGAGTAAGTCATGAGTAAATCTTATTATTTTATCCTTTGTTATTGC